GGGGGGGAGGCGTGGGACTCGGAGCCCTCGGGGCCTTTGGGGAGAGCCCTCTCGGGATCAGACGGTGCTGGTCTCCCCCACCCCCACAGATCTTCTCGCTGGGCTACTGCCCCACCGGGGAGTGGCTGGCCGTGGGCATGGAGAGCAGCAACGTGGAGGTGCTGCACCACACCAAGCCCGACAAGTACCAGCTGCACCTGCACGAGAGCTGCGTGCTGTCCCTCAAGTTTGCCTACTGCGGTGAGTGGGCCGGGACGCCACTGTGAGCAGAGCAGGGCCCCAGCCCAGAGAGGGGCGGAGCCCTGAGGCGTGCTCCGCCCGGGACCGGGCCCCTTGCCGTCCTGACCGGTGTCCCCCGCCCAGCGGTGTCCCCCGCCCGGTGTCCCCCACCACATCCTCGGATGCAGACACTGCCACTGGGCACCAAGCACTCATGCCCCCAGGCCAGAGCCAGTCCTCGCTGGCCTGAGGCAGAGGATCAGGACTCAGCGCTGCTCGCAGCGCCTCCCCCGGGTGCCTCAGACCACAGGCTCTGGCACCCGTAGCCCCAGGCAGGCATGTCTGCCCTCCGCTGACTAGCTGTGCAGCTTTGGACACATCCCGTCCTCGCCAAATTGCGACAGGTCTTTCTGAGGACCAGGAATAGCAGGCGCCCCACGAGGCTTTGAGGGCCCCTGGGAGCTGTTGCAGGCAGAGCCCTGGCAGGCGCCTGTGCTGGGGGGCCACCTGCGGACTGCCGCCTTGGCCCGGCCTCCAGCCGCTCGTCTGGACAGAGCTCTGCCAGTTCCCGTACTGCCCGTGCCTTCCACTGGGAGACTCAGGATGGGTCAGCCGATCCTAGTGGCTTTAGAAAGAACCTTCTGGGGAAGTGTAATCCCTGTGCTTAACTGCAAATCCTACCTTGCTCCGCCCCAGCCCGCCCAGCCCGCCCCGTCACTGCAGAGGAAGGCATCCTCTGGGTGTCCACGTGTCTGTTGCGTGTCCCGCTTACAAAATGCCTCTCACAAATGTAGAGTCGGCCGGCACTGGCTAGCGGCTCACACCGTGTTTCCATGGCAGCCGGCCGTGTGGGCGGGGCTCGCTTTAGAGGGCAGCAGGCCGCCTGACGGCGTTTCCTTTGCTCCCCCGCCCGCAGGCAAGTGGTTTGTGAGCACCGGGAAAGACAACCTCCTCAACGCCTGGAGGACGCCGTACGGAGCCAGCATCTTCCAGGTACCGCCCCTCGTGGGGCCCGGAGTCCAGGCCTGTCCGCAGTGACGGGGGAGCGAGGGCAGGCTAAGCAGGGCCCCCCCGGCCCCACCCCCGGCTCCTGCCTGCTGGGGGCTCCGGGCGGTTCTCAGGCAGGGCTTGGACTTGGGCCCGCTGGCAGGACACACACGGCTGACCTGACCCCTCGGGGCGAGAGCCTGTCAGCAGGGCTTGCGCAGGCTTTCTAGAGCAGGGATGGGGGGAACCTGCTCTTGGCTCTGGCCTGCACGCTGAGCACGCACAGGTGTGCTGGGCACTTGAGCAAAGGGGGCAGCTTTTTTTCTGAGCAGTGTTATCTGATGTTCAAGTAAGTTCGTATTTCATCTCAACACTTCATTGTAAGGAGAGAGGTGGGGTAGGAGAATACGGGTCCAGAAGGAGATTTTTTGTGAGTTTTAAGGTCTGGGATCTGACACTGTTCTCTCACTTGCTTCCCACCCACCCCCCCCACACACACAGACTCCCAAGTGCGCGCACACGCGCGCACATACACACACACACTCGCAGAGCCAGCAAGCCGCTTTCTGGATCCAGGCCCTAAGTCTGGTGTCCAGTGTTTCGCACAGGAACTTTCAGAGTCTCAGGTTACAATGGATGCTTCAAACACAGGTGCGAATCCTTGTCTCGGCCCAGCAGGCTGAGAAGCTGGCCTGACACGGCTCCCGGGTCAGAACTGCTTCTCCCTGTTTGTAAACTCGGGAGCAGAGCTCACGCTGGAGCCTTCTGGCTCAATCCTCAGAGCTGACTTTAGAGATCACGGTGGGCCCTGTTAGCTTTTCCTCGTGGAAGAGCAGGTGGAAGGGGCATCTCAAGGAGGAAGGTGGTGTTTGAAGGCCTCGCAGGGTGTGCTCCAGGGTGGGCAGAGGGCACTTGGATTCGGGAAGCATCGGAAGGGTGTTGAGTGTCCAGAAAGTGAATTTCTGTCTTTTCCCTTGCCACCCCCTTCTGCGTCTGCTCCTCGTCTTCCTCTTCCAGTCTAAGGAATCTTCGTCTGTCTTGAGTTGTGACATTTCGGCGGATGACAAATACATTGTAACTGGCTCTGGTGACAAGAAGGCCACAGTTTATGAGGTCATCTACTGAGCGAGGACTTCACAGGGCTGTCAGACCCTGGGAGACAGACTCAGCCATGCCGGGGGCCAGCCAGGGGCCCCGCGGATGCAGAGGACGGGCAGCCAGCGGCCCCGCGCTGCACTCCGTGGCCTGAGGGCACACGCCCGTCGCGGTCTGGACTTCTGGGCATGGACTGATCTGTCTCACGAACTCCGACGGATTTCTCTTCTCCTCCCTCTAATAGTCCTGGCAGATGCTACGAATAGATTTATTTGGAGGCTCGTGGCTCCAGCTCCCCAGACACCCTCGTGGATCTGTCCTCCCTTCCCCTTTAGTCTGCTTTGTCCCCCTGCCCTGGCTCGGGGCCGCTGGAGTGTGGACCACACGTTGTGCCGGGGTGGGGGGATGGGCTTCATGTTCCCGACTGTGCAGCGCACAAGATTGTGAAAAGTGTAAATAACAGACTCCTATCTCGGACTGGTCAGGGCGGGAGGGAGCCCCTCCCACCGAAACACTAGCCGTGTATTTCGCCTGCTGTATTTGTAATCCACTCGTGGTGGTGGCTTTTTTTTTTTTTTTTCGAAACAGTAAGTTCCCATCGTGGGGAGGGGAGGGCGGGGGTGGGAGTGGGGAGAAGACTCCTGGGGTGGAGGGAGGGGCAGCAGCTGGCAGCCACGGGGACCGTGAGCTTCGCCCCGGAGGCGCGCATCTCCTCGTGGACCTGGGACTCCTCTGAGGCGCGCCAGACCTTGCTCCAGACAGACCGATGGACAGGCAGAACTTGAGGTGGGTGCCCGCCTGGGCTGACGTCAGCAGAGGGGCAGGTTTTTCTGTGGCCTCCTGAGCGCCACCTGCCTCTTGGCCTCTCTGGGGCCCCGCTCAGGTGTCTGACCCTCCCTCCCCGCCCCCTCACCTCGGGCTCGCTTTGGTGCACACTTGGTTCTCCTGATTAGAAGTGGAGGTTCAAAGGAACTCCATCTCCGGCCCTTCCTAATCTTTGGACACCACCTAAAGGACAAAGGTTGGAGGAGAGCATAGCAGCTCAGCTCAGGGAGCTACCGGAGAAGCAACAGCAACTGATGTGGGGATTTTTTGGGTTTTTTAATAAAGAGAATTAGAAATGATACCCTTTTATGAAAATGCCTTCGCCCCTGCCCCTTCCTCTCCCCTAGAGGGAAAACCACGTATTAACCCACAGGGTCCTGAGTCAGAGCATCGTGCCCCCTCCCGCCGGGGGAAAGGGGCCCGCGGGGGGCGGGGACACCATGCGCCCTTCTCGCAGCTTCCTGTCTCTCTCAGGAGCCCAAGCAGGTTACAGGTAGAAGATTGTCTGCTGCAGGTGCCACTTTTTTGGTACCAAAATGTTCTGAGGAATTAGAATTTGGCTAGGGTTCCCCCCTCCTTTTCCTTTTGGTCTTATTTTTCTTACTTTGAGGAAAAGCTGGAGGCCGCTGGGTCCTGGTGCGGCTCTCCGCGGATGTAGCGTATGGAAGATACTTTTTATACTGCATTTTTATGGATTATTGTCTAATGTGTGGCTCCGTCTGGTTGAAGGCAGGAGGGGCTCTGGTGAACCCCCCATTCAGTGCTCTTGCTCCCGGGCGCAGAGATGGGCACAGCGCCCTGCACCTTTCTGAGGTTGGGGAGGGTGTGCAGACTCTGTCTGTCTGTCTGTCTCTCTGGGTCTCAGATGTTCATGTTCCAACTCTTGTTATGACTCTTGCCACGAGGCAGGGCGAGGGTAGGAGAAAGTTGATTCCTGAAAAAAAAAGAAAATGAAAAGTCATTGTAATGAGCTGTTTTTATATTTTTAAAAGTTACTATTTAAAGGTTGGTCTGATTGTTGCGTCTTAATTGCCTACCCCTCCAGTAGTTTGTCCACCCCACGTCCTGGGCCCTGCGTGATTTCCTTTGTCATCCATAGACGTCATTTCAGAGCACCCCGGCATTGTCCCCATCCCCGAAAAAGTGGTCAGGGAGTCCTTTCACGAGCCCAGGCCTGGCAGTTGTCGCTGCAAAACTTCGGGGGAAAAATGAAATGTGATGAACTTCTGGTGAAATTGCCAAGTGTCGGACCCTGAAAAGCTCCTCCACCTTTTTCAAGCTTAAATTCAGGCGGTGTTGGGGGAGGGGTGCGCACTCGCAAGCTGATGAAGGTGCGCTTCTGGAGGAGGAGGGATTTACAGAAAGGGCGGCAAGATCGGGGAGCAGGGCTGGCCTCGGGTGGTTCCCAGCCTCTCAGGTTTCACGCACCCGTGAGCGATCTCTCTCCGGAACTCGGGACTAACATGGTTTCCAATCCTTATTTTGTCAAAGTCATTGTAAATCAGCTCGAACGGTTGCCTGCTGTTGGTTCATACAACAAAGGGAGTTGAACGTTGGAAAAAAGGAGTGGCAGTCAGGATAAAGCGGCCCCGTTCTAAGCCCCGGAAGGACAGCTGGGCTGCGTGCACGCAGGGCTCACTCGGCTGGCGCGGGCGGTCCTCCGGGGCTTGCGCGGGGCACGCTTCACCGCCGTGGGGCTGCGTTTGGCCGGCGGCTCTGTCTTGTACTGGTTGCACGGACTTGAGTGAAGCATCATGACCCCTGTGGACCCCACTTTCCTTGTTCGTCCATGTCTGATCGTCACAGTGGCGGGCCGGAGGGGCCGCAGGGCAGGCTGCAGCCAGAAAATTCTGCGTGTGCCCAAGACTTGCCCAGCAGGTTGCCCAAGGTAGGGCTGGAGCTGCGGCTTGCAGGCCCCCGTGGTAGGACAGGACAACGACGCTCAGGGAGCGCGCACCGCCAGTCTGGTGCTGCTGGGAGTGGGCGCCAGGGTCAGCCCCCCTCTGAGAAGGGGAGGCGGTCCCAGAAAGGCCGATCTACCAAGGGTTCCTGGGCACAGCCGAGGATGGAGAGACGGCCGGGACTCAGTCCCAGCCCTAGAAGCTCACAGTGCGGGTGAGGAGAGATGGCGCAGCCCCGTCCTTTGACCCATGAAAGTGTGGTCGGGAACGCGTCCTTGGGCTGCTGCTGCCTGGACTGCTGCCTGTCCTCGCTGCCCTGACACAGGCTCTCCAGACCCGCCACGTGAGCCTCACACTGCGCA